AAGGAGCCCGACGTGTGTTTTGACGCGGATGTAGCGGTGACTTGTTGTTCACGGAAACAAAGCCCGTCATCTTTTTTTCCATGCCATGCATCACGCGACTGTGTGCACTGCCGTAGCTCCGTCAGCGACAGTCGTGTCTACCTTGATATCCATTCGGACTCTTCGGAAGAAAGGGTTGCGACCCAACGAAAATCATGGATCTCTTTTCTTTTTGTTTCATACATATTCAAATCGAGGCGAAGATCATGTGAGTGAGAGCTTCCATTTTTCTACCCATGCAGCCAACCGAATCATCCATGCCTGGTGGGGGAATGAACCCCCTGCAAGGTTATTCTTCCGGTTCTCGCCAATTTGGAGGGGAAATACAGAGGTGAAGTGGCCCTGTTGCATCAGCACCCTTGATCTGGCGATAGCCGGTATCAAGCGGTGTGTCTCTTGGCTGCAGTCTGCTTATTACCTGCTGCAGAGGATGCTTTGACATCTCGCCTCCATTTCTCTCCCGGGTACTCCGTACTCGTCCCTGACATCCCGTGAGTGACTCGGTAGAACTGCAAGCCCCTACATGGGGGGGGTATTGTTCTCACAGCCCCATCATTTGCGTCTGCACCGCCGGTAAGCTGTCCGACTATGATCATCGTGGATTTTCGATGCCCATTGCGATTTGGTCCGATATTGCGTATGTAGCCAATATCGATATCGGGACGTCCGCGGTTATTGTTGCCCAATATCAAGAGCTTCACAAAAAGACGGTGAAGCGCGTTACAACTCAACAAACGCCGTACAGCTGGAAGTGCTTGTCGACGCCGACTTATCCGTGATGATGCCCTTGATAACGCCATGCTTTTATAAACAGGTTTTTCCAGATCTTCTATCTCGCCGAGCCCTGCTTGGTCGACATATTGCATGATATAATTCTACCCGAACGCACTGCCATGTCGGGCTCGATTCATGCTTAAATTTACATGAGATCATATGCCAGTTTCTACCACATTCCTTATGATGTCCGTGATAGTTCCTTCGTTCCAAAATGAGCAACATATTGTATCACGTCGCAATAATACTCAACATTTCCTAATCGAGATCAATAGCAAGGGGGGGATCAGCTTCGACGGCACACTACCTCTCTGTGTTGTCTATCGTGCAGCCACGAACGCTTAGGTCGTACACTCCCGCTCGAAAAACCGCCACCGCAACGAGGCCCGAAGGTAGGAATATCGGCTCACAGATCCGACTATCACGAACCTGTTCTATATTGTTCTTGGCAAGATATGATCATCGGCTTCCAAGTCTACAGCCGCATTTGGCGTTCAGATAGATCAACTGATTATGATCATGTTTTCTTTTTTTGAACATTAACCCATCCCAATCTAGACACAAGGGTCCATGATCCACACAGTACCGCAGCTCCCGCGCCATATTGTCGGGTTTTGACAGTCGCATTCCCGAAAAGGCTGAAGTGTGGCGCCGGTTGCCCCTCGGACGTCAGAAGGGCTGGAATAATTCTAGTCGGAAAACGCTTCCTGGCATATAGGAAATCTTCCTTTTGGACCTATCCAAGACCCAAATTGGGCAGGATTCTCGGATAAAATTGCCCTTGGGGATTGATGTGTTTAGACTTTTTTTTGGGGTGCCCCCCTTTCTGTGCCGTGATGGTTGACGGGAAGAAATTTTAGTGTGATGTATCAACTTTGGTGGTCAAGGTGAGATTCCGTCACTCCAAATCTAGATCTTTGATGACATCGAAATCAAAAAGAGTGGACTAAAGTGGTGGGGGCGAAAACAAGGGTTCGAGTGAATATGCCCCTCTTGGTTGTACAATTTGCAATATAGCAAAAAGTGTGTATCCTGTGCCCTGTACCCTGTACGGACGAAGTACAAAGTACATCACCTACATTGATGTACTTTGCAGATCACTCTGGTTTCCATTGCTTCCAGACCGATTGTCATCGCGATCTCGATTTGGATAAATGCAGGTCTTTCTTCCTAATCAGAATCGGGCTCCATTTATTACTACCCCAGTAAGCGCCACAGGTGCCGTCTTTAGGGTGTGTAGTACGGAGTACGGAGTACGAAATACGTATATTGTGTGTACTTTGGGAGGTTTATAGGTTCCCTACGGCGTATCATCTCCCGGATCAAGACAAGAAGGCCTCAAAGTTCACTGTTGAGCAATGTATTTGGCTTCAGATCTGGCACCTTGTGCTAAGATGTGTTCGCACTTGGTTGCACAATGGTTTTTGGACCCATTTTGGAGATCGCTGATCGGAATCCTACGGAGTACGAAGGATCGATGTCGGAATTTGGCTTGATTCTAGACGGTGGGACCTTAACAGGGCTGGAAACATGGAATAATATGGAGTACAGAATACATGGCTGATTCCTTAATCTTATTTAGACTGGTCAGTTCCAAGGTTAATCCAAAAGCGCCACATTTACAATTACCGATCTCGAGTTTATGGATTTGTATTAGACTGCCGGAAGATGAGATAATTGTCGAGAGCTGCATAGAGGAAGTGACAGGTGTACTTTTGTACGGCACCGCGTATCCGAAAGTACCTAACGCAGTAACCCAATTTTGATCTCCATAGGGTATGTTCCAAAGGGAATGGAATTCTGGTCCGGCATCTGAAAGAAGATCCGCGGACCAATCAAATCGTTCAGTCGGAATCTCCGTTCCAAGTTCCACAGGTCAGGTATTAAGTTAAGAATATATGGAGTAAGATGGAGTACCTTAGTCAAAGGGGTTTAAGGTATTGGTATGTATTATACGATCTCCTGTGTATTTCCAACAGGAACGATCGCCCTTAATCTCCACTCGGTGGCGAGCGGAAGGCAGGGTTCCGGTGCCGCGGTGACGGGTATAGTACAAAAGTTCCCAAGGACACGAATCACATCGCATCTTTCGCAAGGATTTTCACACTATCGATTCTCCTTTCAATCATGTGAGCATTCTTCTCTTTGTTCTCTCGATGCTTTGATTTCTTTGTTTTTTTTTCTTTTCCGCAAGGTACCGGGGAGCCGGATCGGACTCATGGTCTGTCGGACGACAATTGCTCCGTACTTTATCGCCTTACTTCATGTATGCAGTACCCTGAAATCTGATGTGAGATTTCCCTATGGTCTATGTTGTACGGAGTAGACAAGAATGTTGATTTGGTCACTATCACGTGTGCTTCGTAGTATTACATCTTATGTACTTGGAGTACTCCGTACGGAGTACATAGTGGGTTCTGTGATATGGGCTCAGCTAAAACAAATTGAATCTCAATGATATCATTCGATTAGTCCAAGATCTTTTACCCGATATTTTTACCGGATAATTTGTCGCCTATCCAATGTCTGCCGTGTATTTCATCTAGGAATTGCACCCAGACTAACCTCACCTTCGACCCATCTATAACCCTGAAACCCGGAAGCCAACTGAAGGTAACTAAGCCACACTTTACCTCGTCCTTGCATATCTTGCTCAATTCGATACTCCTATTTCGATGCCGGTCAAAGCCGAGTGTTTATTAGAATTAGACTTGAAGCAATGACTCCCTTAGGTACAAACTCCATATCATTGTTTTCCAAATAACCACTGTCCTGGACAAGATAGGTTATGACCCAATGTGCACTTAGCTCAATCAATTAGGTTATTCCAGACAGATGCTATATAAATAATTGGCCCACACAAACTGCATAATGATATGCAGAAAACGTTAACGTATAACCTCAAGTCTATAGAACAACATGACATATACTCCGTAACTTGCGATGCGTTGATGCCCCGTACATATTATTAGTCAATATACCAAATAGTCAAAGTCAATTCCATTACAGATCATCCAATACGATGTCAAATACCGATCCCAAAAGGCACACGGTATGCATAAACACATACATTCGTTAAACTTTACTAATTGTGGATGAACTCCTAAAAAGTACCGCCACCAGTCATCTTAGATGGAATCCAGAGACGAAGTACGAACTTGCATGATCCTCGGCTGAACCTCCCAGCAAAAGTACACAATTCTCCTATCTAGTACTTTTGCCTGCCGCCCCGGAGCCAAGATGTGATCGCCTTCCTGGCATGTACATATCTTGGATGTGACAGCGGATCACAGATTCCTGCCTGTGATGAACTTGACATTTGAGCTAGGGTTGATGGACCAATCAACACCCATAACGTGCTTCTTCGATACATCCACTACACGGACTACTCCGTTGGCACCGTTAGTTCATCCTGCGAAGATGTAGCATTGTCCAATTGCACCGCACTAGCTTCAATTCCAAATTTTTCAATTCCAAATAATCTCAGGTAAGCCTCGCTGCTTATCATTTTCACGGCCTGGATCTACATATGTCGTGCTCGAAACGGTGTATTACTTGCTGCTTTCCACAAAGTCCTACTGTCGCTTACTGACGTTGCATAAATATATGCAGGTCTATGTATCTTGCCGTCCTGTCCGTATGTTTTTTGTGCCTCTGCATGATTTCTTCCGCGTGTATAAAGACATTGTATATTTGGATATGTCAATTCGGGGGGCTTGTTTTTATGTCGCCTGCCGTTGATTAAAGCAATATTGATAGCAATCTCTGAGACAATACGGAGTCATTCGTACTCCGTATGGTTCTAGGATTGTATATATTGTACATGTTTTTGGGTACCATTCTAGAACTATCCTAGTCTGTGGATTTATTTGGTTGGATTCGTCGAACCCAATTCAGAATTGAAAGACACGCCAGCTCTGATTGATAAATACATCCAGAGATTGACATATAAAAAAAAGAAAGAAAGCTTGTGCGCGATCAAGCAATAGCAAAGATATAACAGTAAAGGTCGCATTTCAATCCCTGTTGCGTGCTGTTTGGTATGGAACTATCAAAAAAAAATCATAAGACGGTTGGAGCAATGTGAATACATCTGGTAGGAATAAATCTAGAAGTGTCATGCTAGAGCAACCACCGAAGCCATATAAAGCACACGTTGCAAAGCCACGAATACAAGACCCAAGAGTTCAATTGGCGACTTCATCTTCTGAGACAAGGATATAATCAGAAGCATCTGTACTTTTGTTGACCCCGCCCGGATGAGACTGCTGTCCCTCGGCGCTTTCCCCTTGCGGTTGTTGCGCCCATTGTTCAGGCTGTTGCGAAAGCTTTTGCGTAATTAAGGCAATTTGTCGCGCAGCTGAGGCTTGCACTTCAAGCAAGTGTTTGATAAGCTCTTGCTGTGTGTTTATTTGTTGGTCGGCAATCTCCAGCAGTCTTTCATGCATGGTGAATTTCTCTTTTAGCCGACTGTGTTGTTGAAAGAAGTCTTGTGTGCTGAGCTGCCCTTCCAAGTTGGTAATCTTTTGGTGAAAGATATCTTCCTGTAGTTCGATTTTCTTGAGTCTTCCCTCTTGCCCGTGGACTTTTTCTTTCAAGTTGCTGATCCTATTCTGAATTTCGTCTCTGTCTGCAAGTCCCTTATCCATGTCGGGCCAGGGTTCCAAGCTGCATGGGCGTTTCTCAGGCATCGTCAACTCCTTTGTGGCCTCGGGTTCGTCAATATTTGCCATCGTATTTTCAAGCCACTGTTCAATGTTTGGGTATTGCCCGGTATAGATGCCGGTTGCGAATCTATCGCGCTTTCTCTTGTATGTGGACATCGGTTTAGGCTATGGCAGATTGCTTCCCGGTTGGATGAAAGGGAATGGGTATACGTTACTCATCACCTCAGTCCAAATTGATGATCGGCCTCCGAGTAATGGTCATGCCAGTGATCCATGGATGCATACTGATAATTCCCAGGGTTCTTCACCGACTCTTGCCCAATTTGATATTTCCTCTTATGGAATATTATTGACACCAAACACCTAAAGAGGATGTGCAAGATCTTGGCAGGTCGAAAAAGCAAACAATACACAATTAAACCAAACAAAGGCAGCTCACCGTTTTTTCCCCGTTTTTGCTGCATGTCAGCGACTCAACACACTAGTGAACTCTAGGCAAAGAGTCGAGTCGCAATCAGGCAAGACTGAAATGAGTTAGTCTACCAAGTAGAGTCCGCATATGTTTATTGGTCACTTTGTCACGGGTTCGGGGGTCACAGCGGTAACGTGCAGCTGCAACAAGGGTAGCTGTTGTGACCCTACGGGTCGGATGTGGAAGCCCAACGGTGCTTCAGGATATTTATTTTGATGCAGGGATTGAATGAGGCGGTGGCAAGCAAACGGTAAGATGCAGAGTTAGGCTTTGCCTTGATCAACTCGTTTGTCCTTGGCAATTCTCCTGAGCAACAATTCAGCTTTGTGCTGCAGACTTACATGGCCCATTTTGGGTAGTGTTTTTGGATATGTAGGAAGTAAGCATAGGACATGGATTAGATTAGGAAAAAGGAGAGGCAAAAATGGTTGTTCAAAGGGGCATATACTACAGGCCAATATTCTCCACTCAATGGGGATACTATAAGTGGCTTATCATCATGTGATCTTATCGGGACCTCGAGAAATCCGCTGAAGTCATAATCAGCCTGTCGACAACTCACTGAAAACCGGTGTATCTGCGCCTATGAAGATCCAATCCGAACTGGACAATCTCAAACATTGAAACAGTTACATTTGCAGAATGAGCGAGAGATAGCCGCCAATCACACATCATGGCGCATCCACGAGTCTGTTTTTCCCTTTCCATACGACCATTTCTTCCAAGACGAGCACGTTGCAGCCGATTATTCCTCCAAGACCTCCAAAAACCATGCATCGCACGGAACCGATTCCAGAGTACCAATGCCGACTCTGAAACACCACTTCAACCCACCAAAAATGCTGTACCTGACGAGGTAACACAAGACTTGTCGCATCTAGACCCTGCTCCGGAGGATTATTCGCGGTTCATTTTTCAAGACAAATGCAGGGTGAAAATCCACGCAGGCTCTGGTGGGCACGGCTGTGTTTCCTACCTGCGTGAGAAATATGTCGAAGAAGGACCCCCGAATGGCGGTGACGGTGGCAGTGGAGGCGGTATATACATCCAGACCGTTGAGGGCTTGACAAGTCTCCATAAGCTGGCCCGCAGAGGCATCATCAGAGCTAGCAGGGGCCGAAACGGACAGGGGAAAAGCAAGGGTGGAAAACGAGGTGAGGACGTTCTCCTCCAGGTACCTGTTGGCACCGTGGTGCGAGAGGTGAGCCGTTATGATCCGGTCGAGGTGGAGTGGGCCCGCATCAAGGAGGCGGAAGAATCTGCCTATTTGGCCAAAGAAGAGAAGGAGGTCTGGCGAGATCCTGATGATCCCGAAGCTGAAGGTGAAGGTGAAGGTGAAGGTGAAGGTGAAGGTGAAGGGTTTGAAGAAGAACCAGAGTTCAACCCTATTCGGCACGAACGCTGGGTGCTACACCCCGCCGCAAAGCCGTCCGATTTCCTTATGGTGCAGTTCCCAAAATCATACCCGCGACGACAGAATATAGCGGCCATGGAGCCCAAGTCGCCGATCTGGCTGGACCTATCAAAACCCATGGATAAACCCATGCTTCTGGCTGCCGGGGGTATTGGCGGGCTGGGGAATCCGCATTTTTCTACCCGCACAATGGGACGACCAAAATTTGCAAGCCGAGGCGAAGGTGGAATGATGTTAGAGCTCGACTTTGAGCTTAAGCTTCTTGCAGATGTCGGATTGGTTGGGAAACCGAACGCCGGCAAGAGTACGCTTCTCCGTTCATTGACCAACAGTCGGACCCGCATTGGAAATTGGGAGTTCACTACACTATCTCCTAGTATTGGCACTGTCATCACAGACGACATGAAGGGTCGTCCTCTTATTGAGTCGAAGGCTCGTCGCACGCATTTCACTATTGCGGACATTCCGGGTCTGGTGGAAGGCGCCCATCTCGACCGAGGACTTGGTCTCGGGTTCCTTCGACACATCGACCGAGCTGGGATTCTAGCCTTTGTGGTTGATCTCAGCGTTGGCGATCCTGTACAGGAACTCCAGAAACTGTGGCGCGAACTTGGAGAGTATGAGCGAATGCGCGACGCAGAGCCTGACGCTGCCGAGGGAGACGAGATCATAGAATGGAATCCCTTCACTGAAAATGCGGATGATGGTCATCAGCGACAGGCGCTTGACCGAGAGCCTGGCCCAGTATTGAATACCAACCCCGACGGCTCGCTGCCTCCGCTGGCGATGACTCCTCTACACCTTAAGCCTTGGTTCGTCGTGGCATCCAAGGCGGACCTGGAAAACACACATGAAAAGTTCCGGGCTCTGCAGGAATACTTGTCTGGCGTCCAGAATGGCTCAATTGAACACCCATCAGGTCATGAAAGAGCTTGGAAGGACAAAGTGCGTGTTGTCCCTGTCAGTGCCAAAAGGGCTGAAGGTGTGTCTCGAATCCCCAAATTGGTGATGGAGCTTCTTGAATGAAGCATGTATATTAGAAAACTCCCTTGATCATGAACAAAGTGTACTATATAATAAACATGAACATACCTTCAATATTTCCCTGCAATTTACAGCCTTCTGTGTCCAGCTTTAGTTTAGCTACAGAAGCAATGCAGCCCTAGAATACTAAAGGCTCTAGGATGGAAAATTCAGAATAGTTCATTTCCTCCAATTGATTGCCAAAATGAGGGTGTGTGATATTTTTTTAGACGGTGGAAGAATCAATCTGACCGTAACATCATCATTTGGAGAACCTTGGGAACACCTTAGGATTGATTTGGGAATAGTCTGGCGTCAGCTTTTCCTTTCTTTCTCCTTACTTTGCCTTCACATTCCCTAGTCATGGCCCTATCATCAGTCCTTAGTGACGCGTTGTCTGTTATTGCCGAGCCAAGCTTTGACGACCCCATCCTCCAATGCAACAACTCTGACCTCCAAGACTTTCTCTTCAACGACACCGAGAAAGCACTTGAGCTTGCCAACTCAAAATTACACTCTTTTCCATTCAAAGATGTGCACATCTGTTGGCATCGGCTCTATACGGACGCGTCTATCGTCAAGGCCTGCGTCACCATCATCACGAAATGCGGCCTGATCTCCAAAGCCAAATTCGAGACTCCATTGGTTGTCTCACAACTCATTGAAGACATCAAGAATGCAGAAGCTGAGCCGAAGCTCTCGCCGGACGCACCATGGCTATCAGAGGTCGTGGCAATTATTGATAACGTCTTGATCATGTCTGGAGCGCCTCTCCGCGAGAAACTGGTTGAATCCTTGTTGTCCACGCTGCAAACAGCTACAGAATCCCCCAAATTCGAATACTACAACACGAGTAGTCCAGAATATCCTACCGCGAAGCGCAGAAAATTCTCGCCTCCTCTCTTCCCTCCAAATGCGATCCGTAAACCCCATCTGGAACATCCGATCCCGCGATTATCAGCGCCGTCGTTCGATTCTATCGAACACCACATTCAAAATATCCGCACCCCACTGGTGATAACAGATGCAATGGAGCACTGGCCGGCCATGTCGACGCGTCCATGGTCTTCGCGGAACTACTGGTGGGACCGCACGTTTGGGGGTCGCAGATTGGTCCCAATTGAGGTGGGGAGGTCATATACCGACGAGGACTGGGGACAGAAGATCATGACGTTCAAAGAATTTGTGGACAGTTACATATGGCAAGGCAAACTTGCTCCGACTGGGGACCCAGAACACCAGCCCCAAGTCACCAACCTCGATGGAGAGACCGCATACATGGCGCAACATGACCTACTTACTCAAATACCCGCCTTGCGTAACGATATCAGTGTACCGGACTACTGCTATATCACCCCACCAGGTCCAGATCCGGGGACACCAGTGTATGAGAAGAAAAAGCGTGAACGCGAGGCGAAATGTCAGGCACAGGTCCCTGGAAGCTCGCATGACGCCCAGTTGGACACAGCACCAAATGAACATGATATAGCCGAAAACGGTTCAGATGCAGGCTCATTTATGGGACTCCCCAGCGATCCCATTATCAATACTTGGATCGGACCCGCGTGGACAATCTCCCCTCTCCACCATGACCCCCACCACAATATCCTCGCCCAGGTCGTGGGAACCAAGTATGTCCGGCTGTACTCGCCATGTACGCCTGACTCTCAGATTCACCCTCGGGGACAAGAGTGGGTCACGTCTATTGATGAGACGGCAGACCCAGATCCTGTATCTGGGGCTCGACCAACGACTCGTAGACTGGTTGATATGTCCAACACTTCCAAGGTGGATCTGGCTGCTATTGAGTTGTCCCCTGCTGAGTATGAGCAATGGGAAGAGATGTGGCCTGGATTCATGGACGCGGATTATGTCGAGACTATTCTCCATGAAGGTGAGTGTCTCTATATTCCTGTTGGATGGTGGCACTATGTGCGTGGATTGAGGGCTGGGATCAGTGTGAACTTCTGGTGGGGGTGAGAGAGCAGGTCTATAAAAGATGCATGGTTATATGATGTCTCGGGATGAGATAGATGTGCTGCTGCTTTCTAAATCCATGAGAATCTGACGCAAGCAAATTGTATGTTATTCCACATTTTTGTGGTACCTGGTTTATTTAGAGCCTGCACAATTCGATATGTCTGGCCCAGGATGTATTGAAGATGTTCTATATAAAATAACACTCCAATGCCTATAGATCACCAAGCACCTTAGCTTAAGTCAAAAGAGAAAGAAACACATAGTCTGTCCAGTAGTCTTTTGAGTAATCTAGTTGGTAGAATTCTGATGACAGAGAAGATGATGATATTCTCTATCTAGAAGCAAGACTGGAGAGAGAGAAGAAAGGAAAGCAAGTATGAATAGGACACTGAGATCCTATTTATACTGGCAAGCATGACGGCAGATCAAACATGTTTGATCTATATGCCTGGATGCCTATGGCATCCGACAAATTCTCAAAGATCTTCTTACATGTATGTAAAAGCGCCTAGACACACCCATCTTCGACAGCTACATCTAACTCCACCCTTCCACCAACTCGCAAAGCGTCTCCTCTCCACCCACATTTCCAGGAAAGACAACGAAAGGCACGCTGCGATGGCGACTCGTCTCCTCATCGCACCGCCAAAGAGGCACACCAGGCGCCGCCTGACCAACTATAGTAGCACGCTTGATATTCAAGCCCTTAGTAGCAGCATCCGAAGAGGTGATTCCACCCTACGAAAGTCAGCACCAATACACTCCATCCACAGACAAATCCAAGAGACCAGATATTATATATCATACCTTGGCAATAATAAACCGCGGCTGCACCTCAATCCGCCGCAAAACACCAACCAACGCCTCGGCAACCACAGAGCCAATCTTCAACGACGACAATTCATCGCCACCAGTCACAAGTGCCCGACTCGTCATAACGAGCGTGTCCATCCCAGCCCGCAAATGCGATTCCGTCTCCTGCACAACGCGCTCTATAGCTCGCATCGCAGTCTCCGGCGACGCAATAAGTTCCTCAACCTTCATTTCAATGATCGCCAACTGACCCGATGCGCCACGTCGATCTGTCAACACTTTCAGCTGTGCTGTAGTCTTAGGAACATATGACCCGGCAATGATAAGTCCGCCCGTCCGGCGCGGAAAGGGCAAATGAAGCTCAGCAGCGGAGATAGGTGCCTTAGAACGGATACCGAGTCTAGTTGAGACGAAAGCCGCGCCTGTGCGGTACAGGAAGTGTTTGCCCTGAGATTCGGCTGGGTGCGTTCTCGTTAGCTTTCAAGTATACGTAGTCAAACCAGACGCAAAGCGGGTAGACATACCAAGTAGCAAACCTGCTACGAAGACGTGCATGTCTGACTCCGCGGCCGCATTGACGATTACCACCCCACCAGCAGGTGCTGTAAGCAGTTTCTTGCAGACAGCCTGCGGCCCGCCGGTGCGGATTTCTTCAATGGTCACAGAGCATAACTGGTTTGCGTGGAACCGGGGCGCCTTTTCCAGGACGTAATCTCGCAGATTGGAGCTTTTGTATCCGAACGTTGCATCCTTGGCGAATTGTGTCGCGCCCGCTGGAATGAGGCTGTCGCCTTCGGTGACATAGTGCACATCGTCGATGGTAAGCCTTCCACCCTGGAAGAAGAACGGGGCGAGAACAAGTGCGTTTGCAGGGCCGAAGACTGACTGTGCCACGTCCGGTTCGAGGGGGAAGTGGCCGCGTAATGTACTATCGCCGCGGAGGACGATGTCGACCTTTTGGTTTGTTGCTTTAGCGACTTGGGCAATGTTTGTGCAGATCTCGTGGATGAGTGTTTCTGCTTCTTTTGGTGGGAGGGCACGTGAGTTTGTGAGGATGAAGAAGCCTGGCTTTGGGGACTGGAATTCGGCTGTTAGTGTTGGGATGTCCCAGACTGTTAGGACGGAGATGTCGTGGCAGGTCTGCGTGCCGGTTGGGTCGTCATCTAGCACTACTAGCCGGTTGATCGGGGCTGTTGTGAGGATCTGGGTGATTTGTTCTTGTGCATCAGTGGGATACTCTGTGGGGAGGTTGGCGAGGGTGCTCTCCCGAGGAAGGACGGGGTACTCGTGTTGTGACATGGTGTGAAATTGGGTTGGTTTTCCTATTGTGCTATTCATCAATCGAGTCTTTACATCTCAAGAAGCAGATTAAGTCCCGAAGATCAAGCGGGGGATATGTGGGGAGCTTTCGGAGAGAAGGCCGAAATTGCATAGATTTCGATGCAACTATGGACTAGATAGAATCAGAGATGTTTTCCTCAAACACCATAAACGCCATTGAGGACAGATGCAAGAATGAAGGGCGTTTGAATGCTTGCAAGCGTAGAAAGCCATGCAACGGTCATTATGCATGTAGCTGGTTTCAGAGTCCAGTATCCCCCATATATCCCTCCCATCCATGCATTGAAGAAAGTAAAAGATGACAGGTCGTAGACTGCGTGATTGTGTTCGTAGAGGATTTAACCCACCACACTGCGGAAACTCAATGCCTCGAGGAAGCCACCAAGGTCATCCTTCTGGACCTCGACAACACAATGCTCGAAGCTGTCGATGCGCACACGCGCATTCGTCTCCTGGACTACCTCCTGGAAGGCAATGCCGAATCGGTTGCGGAGAAGATGTTTCTTTCCACGCGGATCTTCCTCGTCCTCGGACTCCGATTCTGATGAGGAATCAGATTCTTCCGAATCTTCGTCTTCGGCGCCAGTCTCGTCTTCCCGTTCAGCACGCTCTGCTGCTCGCTGGGACCGGCGCTCCGATCGCTCTTTCTGTTTCTTCTCCTTGGCATCTTTCTTCTTCTTACGCTCCTCCTGGCGCTTGGCCATGGCAGCAAAGTCAACGACACCGCCGCCGCCACCTGTACCGACGACTACATAGAGATCGCGATCTTCATCGAGGCCAGCAAGGACGAGAGGAGTTCCTGCTGCTCTCTTCCGACCGATCTTGACCGAGTCACCACGCTCTTTCTCTTGGACTCGAATGGCCTCGGC